TCAATATCAAAAAATATATCTTCACCTTTGCTTCTTAGATATTAATTGTTTTCCCAATGATATGCGATATAACTTAATGAAACTCTTCATCCGCTTTATTATACAAATCATTAATGTACACAAAACTATATAATTGTTCAATAAATATGGTTCATCTACCAGATAATCGTACAGGATTCCAATTATTGGAGCAGAAAGAAATTTCAAAGCTTTAAAAAACTTCAAAATTTCCTCTATTGAATTAGTTTCCCCAAACTAGGTCTATTAATTATACATATTCAATTGCAGGATTACATTTAACAAAAAAAAAACAAAAAGTGAATAACCAAGGAGTACCATTGACCCAGAATCCCCCACTGGCTGCAGTTCTCCACGACGAAACCACCAGAATCTAGGAAACTCCGTAACCACTGGTTCATTCGTTATCTGCGTCGATAACTTGAAAAAACAAAACCAGTAGATCTCGCCAAGATTGAACTGAGTAAAACCGATCATAAGTCTGTGTACATACAGTTCCAATGCAACCAACCCACCACGATAATGTAAAAGTGCCTATCTATCCATTTCTACCGTAGAACGTGCCACCGTAGTTAAGATACCAGACGTTTTACTTATGTTACTGCATGCCCCGTATCTCCGGTATATCTGACGCTGCATGAATGCACAATTCAATTCCGTGATCGTGGCTTCTCCGATTTTTCAGCATCTTGTTACGTAAAAAAGTGCGTATCAAGCAGTTCTCAACAGAATCATAATATAACAAGTGGGATCTTGACTCTGGTTTTGCTATATTGTTGTTTTTATTTCCAACGGAAGTATTGTAATTGGTGAAATTTCAGTTCTATATTTTTTATCTTACGTCGACCTATTATGATTCAAAAAGTGTGAACATGCGATTTTTGGGCTGTAAAATTAATTAAAAGTCGATTCCTTTAATCGCTTTTGACTTCTGAATAAAAACTTTGTAACCATTGAAACTCACACTTCGCCTTTTCAGCGTTATGTTAACCCATTATGACCTAAATGTTCGAAAAAGCAAAGTTTTGGACCGCGTTCATTGGCGTGTATGCATATACACGAGTATATATCTGTACATATGTATGTACAAGTTTTTCAAACTTTGTCTTCGATTGGGCGATAATGTGTCCGCGAAATGTTACAATTTTCTCACATATGTAACTATTGTTGAGCCCAAATCGTTGATATCGATTGAAATTCAATTCATTTATTGATGTTTTGATCTTCGAATTCATTTTGAAATGAGTTTCTTCACGATAACTGAACAAAAAATATTATAAAATACTTCAGTAACGGCTTTTGAAAAATTTGTATCGATAACTTACTGATTCGGCTCCAAGACCAGAATAGTAGCAATAATCGTTGTCTGGATATCTAACAAAGATTTCCCAAAATTCGTACTTTGCAAATATTTGAATTTTGGGCCTGTCGCCGGATATTCTACTGCAGAAGTCTGATTAGAGCTTAAAATAATGTTCCGATGCTATATTGTTGATATGATTTTTCAGGTGATTTTTTGCTCATTTCACATTTCTCATTTCAGATTTTCGCCGAGCATCTGCTAATTTAATAGTAAAAATAACCATATTATATGTAAATGAGCAGTGTCTCGCATGTTGGCTAATGCAATAGTAATATCCTTCTAAATGGACCGAAACGATTAGATTGTAGTTAATCGTTTGCATTTCCTTATTCAATCGAAAGAATATCTCCATTATTTTTTTTAATCATTATTGATTTTACTCTATTTTTTAAAGCTTAATATCTCACGAAAAGGAAACATTTCTACACTTCAAATTTCGAATTAAAAAAATTTGATTCATCTGCTCTGAACCCAAATGGAAAGGAAAAATCTCTACCCCAATGATTCTCTCATTGAATAATAAATGTCTAGTCATTCCTTAGCGATAGAATATCTGATCCCAAACAGCACATTAAATTCGTTTTCCTTGGCAAGAAAAACCTCTCTAATCGTGTGAAATGCGTCACAGTATTATAACAGCTAAAACCCCATTGTGATTTCCACCTTACCCACAGATCAGTGAAGAAAAATTATATATGAAAACGATCAGAAGTCATTACAAAACAAAAGATTTCGAAGAAAGTGAAGAGGCCTTCGAATAAAATGCCCTCAAATCACCTGAGAAAAAATTACTCCTCACAATAAGAGTTGCACTGTCGATCGACGCATTTCCCCTTTCTCTTGCAATGAATAATAACATTTTTTTTAATCCTGTAGCAGAGAAAAAAATAATCTCCCACAGAGGCATAAGCGTAATTCTTCGATTCTCCGTATGGAATATTGTAAATATGTCAAATGCATATCAATCACATGCACATATATTTCCGCAAAAAATGCCATGTGACAGATCATTATTTGCTCCATGGATAACTATATAAAAGATATATATAATATTTAGCTAATTTTGTATGTTTCTCTAGTCTATAAACAATCTATAAAACAAATATGTACAGAACATATATGCTGTGTATTTTTATCATGCATTTTTTAGCATGTTAACAAAATTCTGGACGATATTCTGATACATGTGAACAAATGGCAAAAATATACTCGAAGTCCGTTAATATTTTATTTTAAATATATTATTCTACTTATTTGAAGTATGAGGTATTCACTTAAATCGAATACAAAATATAGTTAATTAAAGTATTTTTTTTTCCGTGAACATGTATTTCCTGACGAGTATGATTACAGATAAAAACTATTTTTTATTCACACGCATCATCTTCTGCTTTCCTCCCATAAACATTGAGTCAATTTTTATTTTTCTTGAATACAATCAGCGAAATATAAATTTAATCATCCAAGTGAAAAGAGAATATTTTTCATGGTAACCATAAAATTTTGTATGGTACATGTGAAAACGTCTTTTTCTTTGAATTATATCGTAATACGGTATTGGCGTCTGGGTAGATATTGTAGGCTTTCATAGAGACATTGGTGTTGGGTGTTCTGGTTGGAACTGTGAACGGGGTTCGTAACACGGTAGTCCGTAGCCCCCACGACCCTCTCTCCTTTATCGCTATTTCTATCTCTGTTGTAATCCGTTCTCAACAGTACGCGCCTACCCCCATTTACTTGGGCTTCTCCTGGTCCACGGACTCGACGGACTCGACGGACTCGACGAGCATCACCAGCACCACGAGCACCACGGGCTCGATGGGCTTTACAAACTACGCAGTTACGCTCGGCCACACTCGGCCAACTCAGTGGTGGCAAGTGGTAGGGTCCTCCGAGGTTTACAGCCTCGTGTCGATGCATACTAACTTCCATCCACACCAATACAAATGATAAAGTGACAGAGCCAGAGAGAGCAATTGGAGAAAGAACAAATGCACGAGGACAGGCTTCGACGTATGCTTATGAGACTCGTTACTTGTTACACATGCATGCCGAGTACTTCTGTATGGAGAGGAAAACACATTGAAAAGTTAAATGAACCTTCTTCAAAATTTTTCTCTGTCATTTGTAAGGAAAAAATTCTGTTTACCTAGTTTTTCCGAAAAGCTATATAAACAAAATAAGGATACAATATCTGTTTGAATTTATGATTATGTCAACTTGGATTCAGTTTCAATTGAAAACGCTCACTGAATTTCTCATTAATTCTGGAAAATGCAAGGAATATTGAATATATTTTTATTTTTTATAGATTGGTTTTATGGGTGTGGTTGGATTTGAAATTGGAGAATTATGTGAATTTTATAAAATTCTATATTACTTTGTTGATGTTGAACATTTTATGTTTTTTACTTGACATTTGAAGTGTAATTTTGTAACAGTGTAGTATATTGCAACATTAGGTGGTGAGGGAAGTAGTAGTTAGATATGTTCAGTATTTCTCAGAATAAAAATATGCGCATCTAAATTCTCATTGTTTATTTAATTATTACAGTCAACGATGACAATTCATAATATTGATAAACGGGTACAAACCATTTTTTGAGTAACTTTGAATCCATTTAAAATAATAACTCAAAATAGTAAAGGCATGCGTGAACTTAAGACATAAATTCATTGATAACAGTCGAGCAATTATTGCTACCTAAAAATATACGGGAGTTGAGTTATTCAGGGAAAATGAAATCACTTCGAGTTCTGAATTTCATAAGCATTAACAAAACACTTGCTACAGCCAAGTCGGCATATTTTATTTTCTGCAACATTCATGAATTCACCCGGAAGATGTGTCTGTTTATTATTTATAGTTCCGATAGAAAATTCAATCGTTGATTCAAAACTGAAAGTTAACTATGAAACATTAAATTTTTTTTTACATTTATTTTTGGGGACAATATCATTTATGTATACCTCAAGTCGCCAATCCCATAAATTCGGACTTTGATGCCAAATAAATTCCAGAAATCCTCTCGCCAATGCAAAAAGTCCGATGGAAACACCACGTATAAATTCGATCTTCTCTTTAAATTCGCCGTTTTAAATAATGTTTAGTGAATAAAAAATTGGTGAAAAACGGCGATTTGCGTATAGCCTTCCTGTGGAGATCCCCACCGCAATAGCGGAGGTAATCTGGGAGAAAAGAAAAAAATAAATCCCCTCATTTTTTCATGTGCCAGAATCGGCCTGCACAGCACATATCGGTGCATATGCACGACGAGGGAACGCTACCTCTCTCCCCACTTCACATACTTTTTTTTTTTCAATTCTCTCTCCCCTCCTCCTCCCCAGCGCCCCTGTTGACCATGGCACCCTGTCCCCTCCAATGAGAAAAAAAAAGGAATAAAAGGAGAAAAAGAAAAATGCGCGCGCTCTCTGGTGCGTTGTACTCTCGATCGGATCCACGAGGTGCGCGCGCAGGATCAACTCCCCCACCAACATTTAGGGAATACAACGTGGAAATATTGTACAAACCAAGTGTATTCAAGTTGGTTGTTGGTTGTGGCAGGGTTGGAGTGGGGATGGACAGAGTGTGTGTGCTGACGCTAGGGAGCAACGTTTGCCCAATGCATTGGATCATTGCCACATCAGACCTCGAGGAGAGTAGACGCGTTTCACTTTATTCGCTCAGCTCAGTCGAGATCTCGTGCTTATAAGCCAATTATAATTACCTTGTAAAAATCATTGTGCAATTTCATTTTGAATTTTCAACAACACACGGGCTTCAGGACAAGTGTCTTATTGACGACTTTTGAATCAGTGAATTATCGTGATTCTTGGTGATTCTTGGTGGTTTGGACTCAGAGACTAGAGTGATTTTCAACTAAGAGTGATTGTTCAGAGGTGATAATCCTCATTCGAGCGTTGGTAGTTTTTATTTTTACGGGGTTTATCGCGTGATACGCGATTCTAGAGACTTATGGAAATTGATCCATTTGAAGATCCACCCTATCGGCGCTTTAGACGGCGTCTTTAATGAGGCGAATTATTTTTTTATTCAGTTGTTGATAATCATTTGCTCAGAGGACACGTGTTCAGATTGACGTGAGGCGCGTGCATTTTTCTGAGTAATTTCACCACGTGTGCTGCCTCAGTGATAATCAAGTTTTTTTTTCATTCATCGAATTATGCTAATATTCTGTGAAATCGTGAGAGTGGTTTTTTGCAGAAAGACTATTGGTTGACGAACTTGAGAACTTTGGAGATTTTTCAGGTGGAGAGTGTGAGTGAAAGACTTTTTGGGGGTAATATCATTTTTCGATACGATGGCTATTCCATTTGCTCTGCCCTCCGAGGATGAGGCTGAGACGCAGGGCCAACAGTTGGAGCAGCTGATGCTCGATCTTTACGCAGCCCTGCAACAGGTACTTCGGAGCAGAAGTGTTCAGCATCCGTCTCGCAATCGTGAGTATTATTCATTCGTTGTTATTTTCGTGGTTATGGACAAAATTGTCTTCCGCGTTCTCGAGATCTTTGTCAGGTTTTTCTGAGTCACAGCGAAATGTGAGATTTCGTACAAGTCCGAGTGATATTTAGAATCTGAAAATTTCTGCACTCCGAAAAACAGGTGTTTTTCACAAATATTCACTTACTTAAAACAACTATTTCGCTCGACGCATAATTTACATAAGTTATCAACTAAGATTCAATGACCGAAATTATAGTGCTATAGTCTTCATATTTATTAAAAGTGAAAAAGCAGTCAAAGTTATCTGAAGAAAATGTGAAATTTTGGAGAAATAATTAATCATTACCGAAGTGTATTCACCACCATGTGAAAAATAATGATCTTCTATCGTGAAATGATTTTCATGGTTACATCCATTCGCTCAAATAAATGGATACTTAACAAAAAATACGTTTTTTTATTAACGTGAAAAAGTGATTTTCTCTTTCGAGTAGAATTGTCGTGGATAGGAAAGATCTGAAGTTTGTCTTCACGAAGGACTTATTAGTGTAATAATTTGGAGAAAACGGATTCTTCCAGTGAAATTGTCAGTGATCTACTTATTTTGTGAACCAGTTGTTTATGTTGGTAGAAAACTTGTTATTTTGTTATCGCTTCCGACAATTTGTCATATTTTCTAGAAAAATTGAATACCATCATTTATTGACAGACGCGTTTGATCGTTAATTTTTCAAAGAGATTTTTTTCATTAGTGACAATTTTCGACAGTTGACGTGAAAATTTTTGTTACAATCAGTTTATGTTTTAAGTGTACAATAATTCTTCGTGCTTTAATTAATTGATAGTTGCATTAATCAAACACATGAATTATATGTTATTTCGATATTCTTGCGGTTCCAAGTGAAGTGTCAGTAAATTCTGTCAAGGGAATCTAACATCAGTTGTTTAGTGACTTCTCACGTGTTATCGTTGAAATGTTATCTCCTTTACTTGCAACGAAATGTACTACATAAAATTAAATTATACCGAAAACTTGTGTGTTAAATGTATAAATTCATGTCACCAATTGTGCGTTAAAAAATGTCTTAGTGCGGAATGAAAAGTGTTAGAAAACCAGATGATGAAGGATACAATTCTGTCAATTAGTCAAGACTAATAAAAGCAGACTTACGATTCCTCTTGTTCAAGTTTTTTCTTCCATCCCCCAGACCCAAAAAATCACCGAAAATGGACATAAAAGTCCGTAACCCTTGGGAAGTATTCAACAGTTATACACGTGTGCGCCGCTTGGATTCACGCAAGGGGCAAAGTACGATGATTTACATTTGCTTCGTAATAAAATGTAGTTTTACGAGTAGAGATGGTGAGAAAGAGAGCAACAAAGAGAGAGTTAAGAGGTTAACGAAAAAAGAAGAACGGGTTGGAGAATACGAGTTACAGATGCAGTGTGGGGTGTGTGGGTGAGAGTAAATCCGAGCAGAGGTAGAGAACAGACAATGTCCGGCCGTGACCCTGCGCGCCCCTTTGCCTCCCTCTTAAATTCTACAAAACCCATTTTACTTACTTTTTCCTTGATCCAACTAAAATAGCTAATGACAGCAATCATGGCAACCGAATAAAACTGGTATTCCAATATGTTCGTTGTAGCTCTCTAAAAAATGACAGTTCCACTCTATTAATTTTACTAAAGAAATCATTTCTAAATAGTGGTGAACATTTTTGTCTGTTTCAAATTTTTATGAGTGAAATTCTAAATGTTGTCTTATGTCTATGTCGTGTTGCAACATAGGAGAAAAATTACTTTCGTTAAAATGATTTACTTGTGTCAAGTAGTTTCGCTTGGCACATGTGAAAAATTTGATTTTACTGAGAATTAAACGCGGTTTGACAGTGAAGTTAATATTAAGATAATATAAGATTGAGAATTCAATGGAATTGATGAATTTTTCTCGTAAAATGGTCAGTGCAACCTGAAATTCTCTGTGTTCCCTAATAGTGACTATTGAAAGAGAAAATTGCTTTCGTTATAGAGAATTGAAGAAATCGTGATGTGTGTAGAAATGACAGTTTTGGTGAAAAAATCATTCTTGTTACACAGAAAATCATTTGTGATTTGACAGCATCGAGCAAATGTCATTGAGGGAAATAAATATTCGGTCAGTGAATTATTGTAATGTCTCCACTAGAAAAGAATTAAGTTTTATGGATAGTTTAGGAACAATTCCTGAGAAAGTGACATTGCACTCGATTTCATGAGAATAATGAGTTCTCGTGATTTAAGGATCAGTGACGATAACAAAAAATGGCAAATTCCTCTCAACCTTATAAATAAGAAACATTCAGGCAATAGCTTGTTCGAATTATCAGTTTATTCAGTATTTAATGATATTATAAGATTCGAGCGTTCTTTGAAAAAAAGCATGTTTCTTAATGAGAGGAACTTTGCTGAAAGTTTTCAATTGACAATTAACCTATAATTAATTGAAACGCCTGTAAATGAAACTTGACACGATATTGTGAGTGAAATTGCAAGAAATTTCTAGTGTATTTTGAATATAATATTGTGATGAGTGGAATGAGGTGTGGGAAATAGTTGAGGATTGGGCTGAAGATTCCACTGGGTCAATAACCAGTGGGAGTTTTCACAAAATAACATGGCGAAAGTGAGCAGTGGGAGAGCAGGCTGTTGCATCAGATTCAAGGGGTTTTGGGTGATTCTATTTATAGGTAATCCGACCAGCTGTGCACTCTCGCTGGTCTCGTTGGGGTTGAAACTGGCGTAACCATTTGCTGAAAATCCCTTCTCTCATTTCTTCACTTATTTTCTTCCTCTCATTTTACTCCTTTTTCTCCTCTTTTACCTCCTCTTACTTTACTCCCTGCGGTCACGTCTCGCGATTCTGCGGCGTGCGTGGCATCATGTCGTGGTTACGAATTTTATACTGGGGAGGAGACGAGGTATCGTCTTACGTTAAATCGACAGCACGTGTCAACGTACTGTCAAGGTCAAATTGTCTTAGGACTCGAGCAATTCAACAGTTGAACAGTAGAAAAAACAAGTGGATAATTAGGCCATTATACGAAAAAATGTGTATTCTAACAATTATATAGTTTATACATATATATATTTAAACTCCATTTTCTAATTTGTCAAATTCTAAAAGGTCCATATTTAGGTGCTTTGATTTTAAAAATTGGAAAGTTAAAATTTTAACAGATAACGAGCTTTGATTCACTATCAAAAATATATTCTAGTATCAGTAACATTTATTGTTTAACAACATTTTTATTACTTGGGTAGACTAATACATTTTGAATGATAGAGTAATGATTCAGTCTGAATGTATACTGTCTCCCAGGTAAAATCAATGTCTAACAGGTAACCTTTCTATAACCCCCCCTAATGGAGTCTCTAGTGCTCATCAAATATAGAGGAGATTCGTCATACCGCCAACGGAATTGCCAGACGGGTCACAGTCATCGGTGAAACCCAGAAAGGAATCTCTCAAAAATTCATATTGTCGTCGCCCCAAGTAGATACAGACTGGAATTTTCATGAAGAATAAGAACCAACGGATGAATACCAATAGAGAGAAAAAAAATCGGCACGCGTCTCTCTTTATCTCGTTATTCTCTCCGTCGGGTCAATTCGAACTATTCTTTACACCTCTTTCTACTTCATCCTCTCCACAATCTCTTTTTTACTACTTCTCAACGATACTCTTATCAAATCCCTCACTCTCGTACACAAGATTTTTTTTTCTCTCAAACCGAGATAAAACACTCGTGGCACAGTGTGTCTGTTCCCTGTCTATCCAATTTATCTCAAACTCCGGCTTTTATACCATTTTTTAGGATAATATTTATGTTTTGTTTATCCGGCAAAATTAGAGAGATTTCTAGTTTTTGGGTAGCTATTAAATAAAATCTACATTGTAATGTGTGGAATAATTTATTGGGTAGCGTGGAATGCTTTATTTATAGCGACGATAAAAGTGTTATCAAGTAATAGTAAAGATACCGCGTAGCAAAATTTAGAGACAAATAAACTCTTGTTTTTTATCAATAGTCATACTTTGAACATGAATAATATTTCCTTCCAAAACCCGGAGTTTTTTTATTTATTAAATTTTTAAAACACAACTATTAGTGTCTCACAGTTTGTAAAAGTAGTTATTACGCTTCAATAACTGTTGTCATTTCCACAGTATATTTTTTTCACAGTAAAAAAAACATTAAACATTTTTCTATCTGCTGCGTAGACGTGACAGTAAAAAAAAAGTACCAGAGAAATCATTCTTGTATGCGTAAAATCAATTACATAAAAAAAATAATTCTCCTGTTTAGAGTGAAAAAAAGTTTGAAAAATAATAACTTGATGATTAACGATTTCTTCTTTCCGCTATGCATTTATTCACCGACGCAGTAGCGCTCGTTATCTCTTGGGTATTGTCCCATTGTTCCGGAAAAGCGTATTGCGATAAAAACTCTCGTCTCTTTTATTCAGCTCTCCCTCAAGTAAACGGTTACCGGTTTGCAAGGTGGAGGGCTAGGCACGCGTCTGCGCCACTGCGGATCATAACGAATTGAGTCACCCACACCAACGGTGAAATGCAGCGAAAAGGAGAAATGAAAAATTGGCCAGAGTGCATAGGGAAGAGAGATTGAGAGTTTAGGTGCAAGAGTGTAATGCACGTGTGCGATGTAAGACTCGAGTGCGAATAGCGAATAGCGAATAGCGAATAGCCGATACCAAACGGGACACGTATAGTTGCGCGCGCGCCGCGCGTGCGCCACTCATGTGGCCTTGAGTCAGCCTCTTTGTGCCTCTTGTGCAAAAACCAAACTCCAGCGCCCCAATGCAACTCATGCCCTCATAAATCGCAAATTCATAAGCCTCACAAATCCCCTTTCCCAATTCAACAAAATACACTCCAAAAATCCCAACTCTACACTAAGTCTTTTATATGCGAAATATATATCAATTATATGCACATGTATTTCCACCAAAAATACTGTATGTCAGTTATACTGAAAGAGACATTTTGTAAAATGTGGACAGAGTTTATTATTTTTAGTTCTATTCATGGAGATTTTAAACAATCGATAATATTTTTCAAGTACGTACTTGCTTGATTATTTTTATTTTTGGATAGATTCACGTCAATTTACTGGTTCTTAACAATTATGTTGTAAGGACAAATAAATGTATTCGTAATGGAATAGTTATAGGAAATCGAAAGAGAAAAGTGGGGGTTTTAATTATATTATATTGATGTCTTGTGACAATTGAGGAGTCGAAATGTATTTTTTTAATCTTAATGCACAGAAAAAAATTAGTTGAGGTTACCACTTATGTTTATGGATTGAGTCTATCTCCAGATATATTTTAACGAATACTAATTCAAAATTTGACTTCTTGCAAGCAAGTAAAGTTGCAATTCAACTCGACAATTTCAATTAGTTTTTTGAAACAAATTCATTCAAATCAATATTTAGCAATGTTTGCGTCACATATATTTATTCACATATGTATGTCTTTCGGGAGTGAGCAAAAACAATAGTTGGGGGGTTCCCAGTCTTTCGGAATAATAGTATTATGTAACTAATAGTATAATAATAGCAGTGTAAAATTAACGGATGAGGAGGGTTATAGAAAGTTTTAGGTACCCCATTAAATTTTATGAAATAAGCGACCATTCATTGAACAAAGTTTTCCGAGTCATGATTTTCACGTTCCACATTTCAAAAATGTTGATAATAATTGAATGATTTTCTGCACTGGCAATGCAAGAAAAAACGGCAGAAAGACATTTTTTCATCTCGAAATCGTGGCATTAACACGTAAAAAAGAGAAATAAATGATTGAAAATCAAGTTGACCGAGGCAGGGGTAAAAAATGTTGATAATGATCGACCGATTTTCTAGGTTGGCAATACAGCGAAAGAAGGCGCAAAATAAATGCAATATTTACGTTAGTGTATCGTTGACTCATACGTGCTCTTAACGGCCTCAAGGGTGTGTACGTAATGCAAGTGCAAAGTGAGCACGTAGACTCCCTGCATGCGGGCCCACGTGTGCTATAAAATAAAACGCAAAAAAAAATAAGGGAGAGAAAGAGAGACTGAAATTAACAGAAAGGAAAATAAAATTGAAAGTACAAAAACTATTTCAAGTTTCTGCAATCGATTCCCTACGTGCCCACTATTCCAGTATATTTCCATTATTTTTTTTAATGCTATTCTCGCAATAAAGTGAAAGAAGACAATGCGGAAAATGTCAAGGATGCTATCACACGAGTGAAGTGACGTGAAACAATGAGCTGGAGGTAACTGACGTTTGTCACGCTCGGTCATCAAAATTATTGTAATAGTTTGTAATAATCATAAAACATTTGCCTAAAGGCTAAGATTATTATCATTGGGAAATTGAATGACAGGGGAGATTCATAAATAAATCCAATAAGTCGATAATTAGTAATTGAATAACCGATGAAAAATATAAGATAAGATGGTCATCCATTTATTTTTTATAGTTGGTATTTTCCCGTTATCATTATGAATAAATTAAATCAATTAACGGCCATTATTATCAATTGTCCTCATTTTTTAATATAATCCAACGAACATTTTAATAAATTTATAAATTATCCTTCATTCTGTTCAATTTGATTCAATTGAAAGCTTTCAGCAATTATCGTTCGATCTAGCGCGAATGTATCAGTTTGGAATTTTTGTTAATTTGAATTTTACATTTGTCCATTGATTGGTTAATAATACAATGCGGAATGATATCGATATGTCAATCATTTTGTCAATCGAAATTTCATGTGAAAATTCCGATCAGAAATATTTGCAAACAGAAAGTTTATTTTGCAATAAACGTACTATTGTTTTCAAAATAGAAATTTTCGAATGTTGCACAATATCATATTCGTATTACGTACAATGTTTAACCACGAAGGATAACTAAATGATGAAAATAGGAGAACGAAAAGGGATGAATGCGACATCGTATGAAAAACTATAAAAACCTAAAAACCTAAAAGCCGACAATAACTAATTCTGACGGAAAAATGGAAGATTGAATAATCTACAAATGCTGCGAACCCATTCGAAAATAAAAATTAGATGAAAAGTGCAATTTCACCTCAGTCCGTAGCCAAAATATAAAACTGAACGAAAGAATTTCCCTGGAGTACATGACAAGTGTCGAACACCCCGAAAATCACCGAGAATGAATAAAGAGGGTAGTTAATTTGCGAATACCACCCCACACTCCACTTAAAAAACGAGGAGGGCTCTTGTGTGCCAACGGGGGCTCGTTGTCTTACCGCGTCTAGACTCGATAAACCAAGATATACGCAAGTGCACCATATGCAACGGCTTTACGACTGCATAAAACTTACTCTCTCACCCACCGGCTATACACTTTGCCCTCTTTTTCCACTTTTTCATGCTTTCTCCGCATTTCCACTGGATGTCGATGGATATTTTTCTAGTTATCACTATGGATTATATGTCTCTCAATCAAGAAAAAATGCTGTCACATGTGAACATGCACACGAGGGGAGCTCGTAAATATCTTATCACCAGACGTGCATTCTTGGATATCATCGAATGCATACCGGTATTTTCTACTGCCAAAGGATGTGAGAAGGTGTTGTTAATGTTCGCGCCGGTTTTTCGGCATTTTCCATCATAAAATTTATCACAAACCTGGGATCCACGCAATTTTTGTGAGGCCAGTTTTTAGCAAATGTCTTGGAATTGAAAGAAGCTAATGATACTTTCATGGCTAGCTTTCTTCTCGTTCTCATCTTGCTCTATAAAAAATGTATATGCAAGCATAGTGCTATCTCTTTTTGAGATCCTTTGTGAGTCTGAAGATTGGTTAGAGAATATAGCATGAGACAGGATTGAAGAATCCATACACAAGAAAATCTATTCTTTACCTTTTCTTGTCGAATGTACATCAAATTATGACTATTAGGAGTATTAAAATAGCGGCGATCCTAGTATATTCATATGTTGATAAGAAACTTACGTTAATAAAGGAAAATGAGATTAATTTATAATTTTGTATCAAACAGCTTAAAAACGAAATTGTTATTGAGATCATAAATATATTTATTAATTAATTTTTAATGTGCTTGATGTTTCAGATCGTCTGCCAAGACGACCAACGGATGTTCCAGGATCCCGTGACCATCCGGTCATCCTGATCGACTCAGATCTCTCGCGACTTCCTCTCCCTGATCTTGTGCTTTCGGCAGTGGAGCAATTGCCACCACCTGAACCCCAGGTGACCGTTTCAGCACCTAGCAGTCCTACCCGAGATGCTGCATTCCAATTCCCTGAATGCAGTGTACCAATCCCGAGTCCCCGGCCACGACCACGAAGACGAAGACTGACCTCTGAGAGCTCAGTCCTGGAGAAAGAGAACAGTAGGAATGAAAATGCTATCTGCAGTGGCTGTTGTGGTCACATCAGGGACTCATTGAATGAACGAGAATGGGCCAGTGTGGGAGCCAATCTGAGAAATATCGCTGATGACTTTCATGCATCCAAGACCAAGGTAAGATTATCATTCACATTAGTCTGTCAATAATTTCGCTTCCAAATGGCAGCATTACACTCGTCGAATTCCTATTTTCTTTTTTCGAAAATGATTAACTGTTATACACTGTTAAAAGTTTTTTCAAATTTCAATTAAAAAGTCATTGATATTTTCAATAGATTGAAAATTTGAGGAAATGATTGCTTGAATTTTCAATATTTTTACACTTCTTACGCACCATATTGACCTGAAAATTGAGGATTACCAGAATATTCAGGAAATTAAATCATTCCTCAACGAAGAATTGTTAAAAATTCCAAGCGTAATTTCAAAACCGTGTAATATCAATTGTATAGATTCTTCCTCTATTCATTATCACAAAAACACTAATGTAGAAAAAATAAAGAGAACATGCCACTTGTTTTTGATTGGTAGGATAGGATGGAATGGGGTGAAATGGGGTGGGGCTCGGGGTAAAGGGAAAGACATGAAATGGAGCCGAATTTCCATGACATTTCAAATTAGCATCAAGTATAAATACCCCAGAAAATGATTACCCGAAACCTGTGAAACATTTCAACTCGAGTCCCCCTGGGGTTTTCTCATGCACAGGAACTCGAACTAACCCAACTTTCCTCGAAAACTTTTACTCCCCCCCCCCCCCCCCCCTCACCGTTTCCACCCCCTTAACGCACCAAAACTCACCACTTGCGGTGACGGTACCTGGAAAATGTGCGGTCCATTATGCTGTATGGGTTTTCCGTCGGTCTGGGGATACCTACTACTTCGGTGTACATTTCAATTTACCACAAAATTCCTCAACCTCACTCGCACCACCCCCTTCCAACACTTTGGGGAGAGCTTTATGTGTATGTGTTTCTGCAAACTTTCGTCTGGAAATTAATTGCCACTGGGTGTCTGACGAGCTCAGCTACATCTAATTTCATCAGAAAAAAAACCAGTTACTCACAAATCATTCGAAAATCTGTCATCCTTTTTGATGTTTTACCCATTTTTTTTGTCAACAAAAAAATAACAATTAAACTTCTTTATGGCGATGATATATAAATCTCCGGGAGTTTCTTCACAAAATGAAATCGAGACTCTTCTAATCATCATCTGGATTTCAATTGAATATTTATGAGCATTCTTTTCGCCGGATTCTATTCTCGAGGGTCATTATTATATATCTGTATCGGGAGGGTCGCTGGTATAAACTCAGGGCCATAAACGCGAATTTAGTTATCAGCCAGTTGTCTCTCTCACGGGGGCAATAAATATCGAGTCTCCGGCTCTGTAAGACGTCTAGGATCGTCTTCCCTCGGTGGGTTATTCTCATTTCCTCCCTCTATTCTCCCACAATCCCAGTGTTTCGATCAAATATGTATTATCAGATGGGGGATAACTACGAGAGACTGAGAAGATCGGTTTTTCCCTTATTCTCCATTAACACGGCAATCAAACATCAAATATTCAATCATTTCTTATCTTTTTTCAACTTTGGAAAATTCATGCAGGTAGAGAAAACAATTCATATTTTTCCTTAAAGTAAATAGATTTCAAAGGAAAATGTCGGTATCAATATCACTCGGTTTCCAGTATAAGTTTCTAACTCTAAATTATCAATCATGCAATTTTTTGATAAGCGTTAATTATTTGAAAACACTGAACGATCGATAAGCCTTGGAATTTCCTGACAAATAAAAAAACTTCACTCCCTCGATTTAATCCATACCTGGTGCATCATAAATTGCATCAAAGTTTCCCACTGACTCGAAATCGATAGCCTAGTGACACACTCTGCCATTCTCTTGAACACTGCTCCCTGAGGTGACTCATAGCATTCATAACCCGAGACCCCAAGAATTGGAAAGAAAACTCAGATAATAATTTCCAGATGGTAATGAAAAAAAAATAGGTTTTTCAAGTAAAATTACTCATCATCAACAATTACTAACAAATTACCACCAAATCATTAACATGTAAGTACACTGCACAATTTAGTTTCTTAATTTATTATAGGAGCCATTTTTTTCGCAGTGTAGTACCTATCAAGATAAAATACTCTGGTGTAAGGGTTTGAAAAAAATACAGCCAATTTTTCCATTTTTTTTACCATGAAATCTATAAACCATTAATTAGTATGTGAAATTTAAGACTGCTGACGAGCACGTTTAATTTGTTATAACACTTTGGGGACAGGTCAATTGGCACGCGTTATTATGAGACCCACAAAAAATTCTTGAAAAGATGTAGAAATAACAGAAAAATACAGCCAAAATAATGAAACTTCAAAGATATGTGGAATACGTGATTACTAATTTTTTAGCAAAAGAATGAGTCGCTCGCGAGTTTTGTTTATGAGAAAAGATTTGAAAAACACGAAAAAAATTGAATTTTAGCGCACGTAAAACGCCAGTCTGAATTTTCGTCTGAAATGACTGAAAACTATGAATTTTCCTTTCACCTCAACTTCTATATTTAATTTTATCTCGATCATCCCTAGCGTTCTGAGAGTAATCTCTAGTCTCAGGATGAAGCAAAAAATAAATGGCCCAAATGAATAAATAAAGCCAAATATTATGCATGCCAGAGTCAAGTGAGCATGTAACATGATGTAAAGTACCACATCCCCCATGGGCTTTAGCACGTGAAAGTTAAGTGGGCATGTCGTTGGAGGCACGAGGCCGTGGCCGCGTGCACTTGCCCGTTATAAATTCCCCCGTACACGCTAAATAAAAGGCAAGAGACCCCTTCAATTTTTACACTATCACTGTATCCCAATTTTGCCTTCGAGTTCTAATCATTTCCCCACTGTTTGGTACACGGAAAAATAGTACATTATGTCATTAGACTTTGTGCAGTAAATTTCGTTCTCCCATTCGGACTGAACGCCCCATTTGTAATTGAATTCACTAGAAAAATATTCTACTAATTGAATGATAAAACTTACACTAATTGAACATAACTCACTTAAGCAACTTAATTTAACTAAACCGAAGGAAAACGTCGGGGTTTGATGGACAAATAAAAATTCAAATATGATCGATTTTTCGTATGGAGAAAATTAATTTCCACTTATTCCGTTTCGTAAAATTATTTATCTGGGATTTTCAATTGACAGATTCAATTCACTAGATCAATTGTATTTGAAACTTTTGGAAGAAAATAGTGAAGAGTGAGAAAAAAGTATATCCCCTTGTTAATTATTAGAAACCGAGAAAATTGCCACGATCAATATATTGAATAATTCTAATCGATGATTTATTCATAAGAAAGCGAATATAGAGAGATAAAAATTCTTAAATAAATAACTGAAATTGTTTTATTCATGGAATAAAAATCTGTCTAGCCCTTAGCAAGATGTATAAATAATATAAAAACACGAAGGGAAATCCCGGAATTTCGATAGCATTGGGATATTAATCGAAGCGTGTGTTATATTGCGTGTCTTCTCCCATAATTCTTCTTTAATGTGACGTTGTTTTTTTTTCCACCCTCATTTCTTCCTTTTTTCGCACGCCCGATAATCTTCTTTCGTTGTCCATACACCCGCGAGGACCGAATGAATGTTTGTATGAGACCAGGGGGATGGGTTGTCAGACATTACGAAGGGTGAGAAAATACGTAACAACGAGGAGAAAAAAAAATGAGTGGAGTCTCCATTTCAACTCTAGAGATTATTGCTCACACCCATAAAGGCGTCTTCTCTCCCAGATTGGACTTTCTCTCCGATGTTTATTATTACTCGGAGTGCGGATTAAGATGGGAAAATCGGGAGTAAGAGGCACTATTCGAGAGGATGTACATTTTTTTGCCTTGCCGACGAGACAAAGAATGGACCACGCAATTAATTGACCGAGAGGCAAGGGAGAATTGGGGGTGGTGAGAGGAGAGTGATCCTTTATTCGTGCTCGTAGGGCCGTCGACAAATTGGTGGATGAATTCTTTTATTTTCTCTTGAGGTGGTTATGGCTCAACGATTTCAGTAATTATGGCACTGCCTTTAACAATAGAACATTATTTGATTCGTTTTGGGGGAATAAATCGGCAGCACTCCACCCAAATGTAGTGGGTACGTTTTATACGTTTTTATGAATTTACATTCACAATTATGTCGCTAATGAGATGTTTTATAAAGAATAGTACATTGTGTCATTAAAACGATAAGCGGTAAACGACCAGCACAAATCCTATCGTCCGTATGACACATACTATTGTTTGAGAAAAATTAAATAAACGAAAGATATTAAATTGAAAGAAACATTGATAATCGTGTTCTCTTAATGCGGAGAATATTCATCCATTACTTTTATTTAATTCATAAAAGTTCGTTCAATGGACGAGGTGGAACGGACAACACCGAAGATAAAGACTCAATAAAATATTAGAAAATTAACTATATATAGGTAAACAACTTTAATTACATATATCTCTGTCAATTTATTCCAATAAGCAGAGAACATGAAACGAACCAAACGAACGATTACGCCATGTCAATTCTTCTGTGCTTTAACTGTAAAATTAAAAAAAATGAACTTTTAAATTAATTACGGTCGTCACAAATTAACTTGAGAAAATTAGCGAGTAAATGTTGCGGCTTAATGTTTCCTTATGTCTCATATGATGAATGAATAATAATTGGATTGATTGAATTAATGTTGCAGGACGCTGAGATTGAAAAATCGAGACTGCCATGTATCGGCACGAGTTTTCCCCCTGTGCCGGCATCAACGACCTCATCATCACCGGACAGTTTGCTGTCACTTCTGATTCCAGCTCCTCTTCGGGAGACTCTGTGGACGACAGTGGCGTTGTATCTAGGATGGCGACTGGTTTCTCGTCTCCGATAGAGACGAATCAGACGTCCAAGTAGGCGACGCTGATGGCCCGACTGAACCATCCAAGTGAGGTAGTTGACCGATTATATCGAAATCAGGGGGAGAATGGGGGTACGTCGAGGAGTCTCGCGTTTGCACTTCTTAATATTGAAAAAAAAAACAACTCGAGACTGCGCACTCGTTCCCAAGAGCGATCGAGATAAGTCGCGGAGCCACGAGGAGAGAACAATTTTCGTACGATACAAGAAAAAAAAAATCATTAAATGGAGAATGGAGAGGGGGCGGGGGAGCTAAGGACGAGATCCAAAGAGGACTTAACCGAATAATCAAACGATGATCTCATTACGAATAAATGAAGGAGAGGAGTCTATAGAGTAGTGTGATTTTGTTTTTTTTTTAATCATTAAATAGGAGAAAGTAAATTTTTGTGATTCTTCAATTGAGAATGTGGAGTTTTCATGCTGCTCGATACTGATACAGATTTCATCATTTCCTCGTGAAATAAATTAAAGATAGAGTTCTGTAAATAGCTGAGCAGATCTGTAAATATGTGAGTTATTAAGTCGATTGTATTCCAAAAAATTGAGTAATGAAAAAAGGAAAAAAAAAATGAGAAAAAAATTGTGAGGAGATTATGGCGGATAAGTGGAGGATTTTAGGGGTTCGAGAAGAATGTGTATAGCTAAAAGTTAGAGGGGAAAAAAATGAAACCCACGAAACAATGAAAAAATGATACTAAAGTAATAAATCAGTAATAAGTCGAATTTAAATAATTAAAGTAGATAATTTGATATAGAATTCGAGGATCGCAGCAATGAATTGGCTCGCTGCGATGCCCGTGGACAGTTTTCAAATGATCTCCGGTAGCTTAGCTCTTATTGTGGCGCCCTCGTCCACGTGTGGGACGCCCTCGTAGTTGTCTTTATCAGAGGCGTTCCCCAGGTTTTTCTTCTTTTTTCTCTTTCTCACTCTTCTGTATACTCAGTTTCTTCTACAACTTTCCCCCTCTCTCTTTCTCTTTAATTGCTGATTATTGCGTTCCAATTAATTTATAATGAAAAATAGAAAATATATTTAAAAAATAATCATTGAGAAGAGTGATCACTATTCACTCGATTATCCGACAATTTTATTATGATTATGAGAGTAAAGTAATATAATTATTTTTTATTTTTTAAGTTTTAAGATTGGATTTTTCTCTCTTCTCAACTGTGATTTCGCGTCCCAACTTCTCAGACCCTTGATTTTTATTATTTTTTCATCGTGGATTCTTGTTGAAGCCAGACCAAAACTGCATTACCGCGGCATAATTCTGTCGCCTTCTGTCTTTTTTATATCTTTTTTATATATCTATATGCATTTATTTTTTGTTCGTTTTTTTTTATATTGAAAACACGTATCATAAACCCTAGTACATATTTCCAGTATAAAGAGAACAATAGTATTTATTTAGATGAGGTGAAAAATACAATTTTCTCCGTACAGAAATGAGTTTCAATCCCGGTTACTTCCCCTTTGTCTGTAAACTGCCATTTGTTCTATTGAGAATTTTGAGAATTTTTGTCAATATTGTACATGATGCCATGATTTTTCAACGCATTTCATTGTCTTTTTAAACTACATTTCTCATGATCTCGAATTTGTAGTATAGAAAAATCTTATTGTCGTACGCTAACAGCAATAGTGTGCCGAGTTTGATGCTGAACACAATAACTTTTTGAAAATTTTCCCGTGTTGAGAGACAGTTTTTAATGCCAAACGAGAGTGTTAACGTAGGCCCTCAAACGTGGTAAAAGGGAAGCTGCACAATTTTTTCTACAAGTTTGAAGAGCAATTTCTTGAAAAAAAAAGTTTCTCAACACTATAATCAGAAGGATTTATAACCCCAAATCTTTGAAAGAAATTATATAAAAATAATGACATTACGTTTCACAACGCATCGTTTTGATGATAAAATTATTCAAAATTATGCAGTTCCCTTATTATACTGAAGCAAGTTTTAAGATGCATGTACATAGCTTTTTATAAAAAAAAAACGATGCTAGTGGTTTTGTAGTTGAATTCTCCGGACTATTTCCCTCCTCTTTTGTTTGTTATAATTTTCCGCTTTATTGTAACTCTAGCCAGAATCAAACCTTTGTAGAAGCATTTTTAGTGGTTAGTCAGCCATATTTCGAAACGTAATACTAATGACTATAAAACCAGATGAAACATTAAAAACAAATATACATATTGGAAGCGAAAAAGACCCATATATTATACATACGCATAAAATAAATATATGTATACATCGTGTATATTTTATCGTAAAACCGTATATGTGATCATATACTGGATTGTTTTGCGCATGAGATGAATATTAAATAATTAACGATAATTTTTTGGTGGATGATTGGAGAGACAAAAGTATGAGATTTGTCGGTGATGAGAAAGTAATTATTTGTGAGCAGGCCAAAGGGCGGATGTTTTTCGTTGTTTTGGAAAAGCACGAAATTGGCTCGCTAATGAGAGTTAACAAAAAAAAAAAATATTTAAATAAAGAGAAAATTAATAAGAGCGTCAAGGTGGAGAAGGTGGGACATAAGCTGTAACTGTGACTATGCGGATCGTGGGGAGCAGGCTGTGTAAAATGTTTTTTTGAAAATCCAGCAAATAAAAAATACAATTTCTTCATGATTAGTGATTTATTCAAAATAATTGATGATACAGCCCGCTCGCTCCAGATCCCCGCGCGTCAAAGCGTCACTGTGATCTCGTAATTAATAATGAATATCTAATTATAGTGAAACAAAAATAACCATATGAATATTGTAATCCCGGTCCTCCTCCCTGAGATTAAAGTCCCCCTCCGTAAGAAATATTTGACAAATAAATGATAAAAGTTTTTCTTTTGAATAATGAATAAACTTTTTTTTTTAACCAGAAAACGTACCATATTACGCATTTATAATTGAGTTTATTATGGCGACGATATGATGAGATTTGCAAGAAGTTAGTTTGTATTTTGTAATGATATTTTTTATTTTAATAATCGCATTTTCACATGATCTCTTGGAGGCATCGTTCAGCGCGGTGGAATATTTTGAGTTATTTTTTTCGCGAGAGGAGAAAATATTATCAATACGCCTCCCCCGTGCCAACAACCTCAACATAATTAATTAAATGATGATTGAAAACGAAAAAAAACATATTTGTCGATATTGCGTTATGTATAAAATAATTAGTTTATTATTATTATCTTATTATATCCATGAATTATTTCTATTATTGTCACTACCAATTTATTATAACGATGAAAATCATACATTTTTGCGGTTATTATGGTACTGTCGCCTATGAATTAAGGTTCAGGTTAAACTCCGTCACTAAAGAGGTAATTCGACTAGTCTTTACCGGACAAAGCATTGAGATTTTTTTTACGAATGGATATTTTCAAAGGCAAATGAGGTTGACAATGTTTTTTTTTTACTATTTTCATTTTCTTCATTTCACCTCGAATGATCCTCGATCTGACGATGGATTTTCCTCGATTTTCCTTTTGTGGTGATTGAGAAAATATGTGAAAGAGTCTGATTTTTCCATCGTAGAGATCGACGTCTCGATGTTGATTTTTTGTAAGATTATTTTTTTCTACCAATAATAAATTATTGTAATATGCCATACGACAGATCTTATTGGTCAATGTATTCATGCGGGCCTTTCCTCGCTACTCCATAACCCTTAACATCCTCGTCATCACGTTTAGTACGAATTTGATGATTTGTTTGGTGAGATTTGAACAACTGGAGGTGAGGAAAAGCTTGGGATTTGAGGTATTTTCATTTTGGGAATAGTTAGCTCAGCTCTGATGGTGCCAATAATACCAGAACATTCTCATGAACTTGATCTCCATTCGGTTGCCAAAACCAATTAATTTAAATAATCATCTGTGTGAGGATTATTCAAACTAATAGAGGATATTCATGGTTGGATGAGTTATTACTCTTGTACAACTGCAACTGAATACTCACGTTGTCTGAATATTCTTCAATCGTATTTACTGCCATTTATTATAAATACTCCGGAATTCTCATAATTTCGCTGACAAATTCGTCGATAACTCCGGTAAAATTCATCATTTCTCAGAGGAATGACATTTTTTAACGCGTTACCTGTAACCAAATGTCTCGTGGACCATAAGATCGCTGTGATTTTTGGGATGGATAGGACGAAAATATGAAAGTCTGATCATCAATTTGAAAAAGATGAAGCTAAGGAAAGATATTGTGATAAAACTTAAAAATAAAAATCATTCATGTGGAATTATGCAAATTCAAAAGTAAATAATAATTTCTCTGCAACGCCCCCCATTTTGCCTTGTGATAGAGCCTGGACTGTACGTACCAATAACAATATTTCTCACGACATTCAGTTTGAAAAAAAATTCAAAGAAAATGGAAGAATGATGCATAGAGAGTATTGAATATTTATCGAATTAGGAGCATTTGTCCAGCTGACCAATCCAAAGAATTGACCAAATAAATGCGAAGAATGATAACTGGGGGATGTAGCGGCTGAAATAAATAATTAACACAAAATTTATCGACAATTTCTATTGTTATAAAATTCAACTTCTCAAGGGAACAATAATTTTCGTCTGAAATTTTGTTGAAACGATGAAATCCTGAAAGTTGTAGCGATCACGTGATATATTGTGCAACAGTCCGAAGTGAGGTACGGTAATATTATCGTCTAAAGCAATTATTCTCCAATTCTCCTTCGATCAGCCAAGCTCAAAATTCATTCAATTATTTTAATTGACAACGAGAATAAAAGATAAGTTGAATAAGACTCATGAATTCGAGTTGTTGTATTGCTTTTACGGAGTTATAAACGTTTTCTGAAACTCAATCCCTCGTTGAAGTATATCGCATGATTGGATGATGACATTCTGCAATTATTAAAATGCTCAAAAATTGGTGATTTTTAATGATTGAGTAAAGAATGGAATTTTCATATCTGCCAATCAACGGAAGGACAAAATGCTGTGTTATTTAAGTCACTATACATACCATGTGTTATTGCTACATTTATATTATTTTATGACAATTTTTCTCATGTTATTAATTTTATTGAATTATGATTTAGCGCAGTACATCAGTTTAGTAATTCCGTAGAAGGATAGCTGACATTTTAATTATAATTTACATAAGTTTTAAGCGTTGTATGTGGCTCGATCGACACGACTCTTTGGACCCTTTATTTTGATGATAAATGAGAAAATTGAGGAAAATGGGGGAGACATCGCGAGGCGTTGTGCCTCGAGCGCCGAGCGGTTCTCCTCCATCACGATGTAACAAAATATATGATGAATTTGAGGGAACAGAGGCATCTCGCCGCTACCCGCTATGTCTTTCATTGTACAGATTTTTTCACTTTTATATAGTTAATGATATCATAAACGTTATTACGTCGATTTTATGCCTGGTGCCTTCACCGGTGCATTATTATCATTGTACTTGAGTTTTCTTTTTCTAATGAATAAATGTCAACACGCCGAATGCTATTTTGTGTTTTCTATCATTTTTTCCTACCTCCCAAATATTTATTCCAATTTTAGATGCAAACTTCCATATTCCAACATATCTTCCAGCTCTTCAATCCACTTGACGTTGCGGTGCCGATTTCGATAAAGTCACCTTCAAATCATGTTAATACATTGAACTCTTTGAGATCATTTATGAAATCAGCTCCAACTGTCCAAGTTTTACTGAAGCAATGCAGTCACGCTCAAGTCATTTCAAATCAATTCAATCAATCGACGTTAAAAAACATTTTTAAAAAACGATTAACCTATTTTAGCCCGTTTCCTCCTACTTCTCACTCTTTGTTTATCGTAACTTCAAAAACTTAATTGACTGTGAAATCATGATTTTAATTTTCGTCTCAAGTCATCAAAGTGAAATTCAAAATCAATGATTACCATTAATTTCGAAGTTATGATGTCCACTACAAGAAATATGGGAAATTTTTTGTCAGACCTTAACGGATTGACAAATGAGCAAATATTCAATTGGTTGTGAATCTGTTTTACTGATACTATCAATCGATATGGTTAATTAGCAAACAATCCTTGGAGTACCTCCAAGACTCACTCCGAGTCGCATAACACGACTATAGCCATTCTGCTAATACATATGCATACATCGAAGAGGTAGGAGGTCCAATGGCCATGATGTTTAGAGTCACTCTAATGGGTTCCCTGAGACGTACCATCTGGGGAGCTCATTACCAAGGGATGCAACCGCGAACCAATCAGCCGCCCTTACCCAAACTGGAGAGATTGCTGCGTCCAAACGCACCATCGGGCGCTTAACCGCAAGGCGCTTTCGCTTCCCTGATTACGGATTAGGCCTGTAACGGCTTGCTGCTAACATTACAATTGTCATTATGCATCATAAATAATTAATAAATCACATACCAAGTCGTAAAACATGCCTAAACTTCAGTGAATTCGGATTAAGCTGTTAGCCCATAAAATAAGGACTTCTCACAAATGCACGCTTATACTTTGCCAGTGTTCAACCTTCAGAAGTCCCAAAACTACTCATTTGCTGATCTGCTGCTAAGGAAAGATTTGGAAATTCTCTGGGAGAATACTATCCACAAGAAGCAAAAGTACTAGAGGAAATTGTCAATAATACTTCCAATTAATTACGTCATTTGATAAAGTAATTAATAAAGGATGATACAATAAATGATAATCCTTCAAGGCGAAAAATTATACATTGTGCAAGGAGACCATATTACTTGTAACCAAAACTTTGAATTATTTCCTCGGATAATATATGCACTTTTTGAAATCTAAATATAACTATAATAATTAGGAAAAACAATCAATGAATTATAATTTGTATGGATGCTTATGAGAATGATGGTTCCTCTCAATAGAGCGTTAATAAAACTTAATTTCAAAAATTTTAATGCAAGAAAAACATTTGTCAATCTTAAAAACCGTGGCTGGTAATGTTCGTTTTACGAGAATTAAGAAACGTTTTTTTTAAGTCTTAGAAAAATTTAGTAGCCGAAAATGATTTCTGGATTGGTTAGTTATGATGATACCACTAGTGATTCAAATATATATTTCGTTCCCTGTAAGAACAGGTTCTTAAAAAATGTATAAACTGGTTTCTAAAGATGCTCTTTTGCTGTCTACATTAAGTTTATTTAGTACTTTTCAAAAGAACCAGTTAGGTACTCAGTGTAAATACTGTTTGTACATATCTCAAGTGCTCAAAGTACTTCTTACTATAGTATCAACGTACTTGAGGTATGATACTTTGCATCAAGGTGTTTTGTGACTAGGTTTTTTTTCCCCAGAAACAGCTTATTGCTGCAAACATAAATTGTATTTGTGTGAATTTATGTGCGTAAGTACTCCTTGAGCACTTAACTACTTTTGTACTGATCAACGGTTCTATTTTTTTGTGCATTTATCAAGATTTTGCCATATTGATTTATTTAAAAAAATTAGTCGATACACTAAATCAATTGAAATTCACCTATTCCTCAAGATCTGTAAGATAGACATTCTCGAGTGTTTCATGAAACTGAGGGAGTTTTTCCCTCTGTGATCGGATAAAAAATGTTGTGAGATACTAGGTCATAAATCTTCATACCTCTTATACATGTGTGATAGCAATTCGACCAATCCATATTCCACTATCAGTTTTCCCTGGGGAGGCGAAAATTGCAACGTTGGGTTTTCGGTGCAATTAATTGCACTCGATCGGTGGTACGCTCTGGTGAACATAGCCGGCG